TTCTTTTCAGAGCTGTTCCAGGTAAATTTCTCGGGCATTCGATCATATGTGAGATCTCGTGTCTCCTCCGGATAACGTTGGCAAGCGGCAAAGTATTCTGTTAAATTGGTACATCTGGCTTTCTTGGATGTGACGACTGACTCTATTGTAGCTGTCTCTGGATTGAATATAACTGGCTGGTGGTCAGGCAAGTGGCACTGGAGGCGTGTAACACTCGGCGAGTTGGCGTGGAGGCTGAAACCGAAAAGACGCCAGACAGCTTCCGCCGGTCCGATGTACCGGCCATCAATGTAGTCAGAAATTTCGTCACGTCCTTGAAATTCAGGACGACCATCGCCTCCCTCTTCTACGGTTGCCGCTGCCCGAGTTGAGCCTTTGTGGACATATTTCGGTAGGTACTTGACAGCTAGGATGCTCACGCATATCTCCATGTTTATATGCGCTTGGAATTTAGCGACCAAAGGTCTGGGTAAATTTAGGATTAGTTGGCTATTCGTCTTGAGTTCACAAATCCTCGAGATACCTGGAATATGGTACAACAAATCGATTATCAAATCTGAAGCCTCGTTTCATGAAGAATCTTCCATCATTTCGCCGTCGATATGCGGGATAGCTGTCTTCAACCAAACTGGTGGAGTCACGGAATGGGCGAGGGTAATGACGGGTGCATTTCCCGTCAACTGTGCAAGGTTTCGTCGAGTCATGAACGCCACAAGGGCCATGGAGAAGTTCTGCCGCGACTGTATGAAAAAGATCTGGTTCGAGGTGTCCGTCCGGTAATTCAGCGCATACTAATCGGTCAATATCTTCAGAAGTCTGCGGTTTATCATTCGGGTGTAGGATGATAAGGGTATGGCTGTGTGGAAGACTTCTCTTCTGAAATTCAATGACTGTGAGTAGACCAATGACTCGACCGAATATATGTCTTTCGGTGATGTCTTTGAGGAATTCATCATTTTTTAGTTTGAACACTCTCGAGACCAAATCAGGGCGATCTTCTGCCAATTGTCCCGGTAATAATTCGCGTTGGATTTCTTCCCAGTGCCCATTACAGGTAAACGTGATGAAAAGATCCGGTTTACCTGACGATGATGAATGTGGCACCAGAAGGCGAACAGAACGGTATGTCTCACCGGAGTGTCGAACAATGGCTAATGCATCTTGATAGAGCTGTACCATGTGTCGTGGACTTCCTGTGTACGAAGAGGGAAGGACAGTGCGTCGTCCAACATCGGCCAATGATAGATCACCCTCTGCTGCATCCATAAGACCGTTATATAAGTCCACCCGAAGTTGGCTCTGGTTATATTGTAGGAAGCGAAGTTTGTTCGCTTCCGTTTGCGCCCAAGCATCGACCAAAAATTCTTGGAACAGCGCACCAGAGCGTAAAAACAGGTTGAACTGGTCCGGACGATTATGCAGGTAGAAACTGTACCATTGGGCCTGTGAAACTCGGGTGGAGCCACCTCTGCCACGTTGGGGAGGAGGAACTTTGGTTGAGTTCCGTCGATATGCTCCGCCAGCAATGTCATTACCTTTGAATGGTATTTGGTCGTACCACCCTTGTTCTCCGTGTGGTCGCAAGATTGGGAATCGAAGCGGCAAAAATGAAGCATGAAGTTCGGAAACACGCTGTAAAGAACCATTTTGGTTTTCAACAATGATATCACGGCCCTGGCGAATTTCTGAACCATCCCCTGGTGCAATTAGAGATATCTCGTCCACGGTAGGTCGGTTGTAAATGCGTGGGTCACGTTGAGCTGGATTAAGCATTTTAAAGTGTAATTGTCGCGTGTCGTCTAATGCTACTCTATCTTTTGCATGACGATATGCGTGGATGTATGGGTTGTTGCAACGTTCGAGTATGTTCTATTCAAAAATTTTACCATCGGTTTTTGTGAGTACTTGAGAAGTAATATATATAAGCACCTGAAGACGAAGCAAGATATCCTCATTTGCCTGCCCGTGTCCATGTAAGGCACGCGTTTGGGCCATATCTTGCTCTGTACCATTCATGATGTAGATCTGCGAGAACTGTGGCTTATTCGGGTCGATCGGTAAGAGAGAGCCAATCGAATGGTACAGTTCCCCATATAAGCGTACAATTCGATGTCCAGCTGGACCCCATACGGACGAGTCAAACTTTGCACCAATAGAACAGAAAGAAAGGAGATTGTTATATGTCCGAATGTTCCTTCGGAATTCTGTAGCAACTGAGAGAACAATTATTGTACGAATCGAGTTGTAGACAGAATATACCTGGATCAGTCCCGGTAAACAGCAATTTTAAATCGTCGTCCTGCTCTCCCCATGTGGGTAGGAGAACTTTCCCATCGGAGCAGCAGGTGGTGAAATGTGGATTGGTCATGTTCGATCCCGATTTTCGCTCCTCCAACCAGTGCAATGCTTTACAGTTTGGGCAAGGTACGTCGCAGTGACCCAGTATATGTGGCACTGAATAATCTCGCTCTCGACGTGCTTGTTGCGATTCATATGCCTGGTGTGTAACTCTTCTGTGGTGAGACTGATTGTCATCAGCGGGTACATGGTTTCGCGCAGAGGCTCTAGCTGTTTTAGTATGTCTTTCAAAGTTGGAAGCCAGTGCGGACATTGTGGGTGATGCCAGGGGATGAATATTTATTGAGGGATATTTAACGGCTTGTCAATTAGACTTATAGAACCGGAACTTAAAAGGGTTGCGGTCCAGAGCTAGTAACATCCAGGTCCAGAGCTTCCAAGCGTTGAGTGGTCACATAGCCGTTCAAGACTTTACAGTGCAGTTGAGGCCGTTTTAGGAAATTAGGAATCATAGATGTCGTCGTTCAGAGTATTGAGTACCAAATACAAAGGAGAATGTAAATTGATCAAGTCGAAAGCTGAGAGGCCACCTCATTGTGGTCGTTATCGTCGTCCTTACGTTTACGCTTCAGAACACGCTGGTTCTTGGCATAACTTGATCCGCCGCTCTTCGATGGGGACTCAGCCGCGCCAGCCTTAGTTGGGGTTTTCACTGAAGTGCGAGGAGTCGGCCCATACGTGATTCGAGCGACGTCAATGATCAAGAGTCCGCTCAGTTCTTGTTCGCGTCCAGCAAGTCGGCCGCCCACACCGACGGTCTGTCCGATCGCAGGCATGAAGAAGCTTTGCCAGCATGGGTTGCTTCGGTCGACGCGAACTTTCACAGCAAACGGTTGATTACCATCCTTTACTCTCTTCAGTATGTACATGCTTCGGCAGAGGTGGAAAGGAACGCACTACAATATAGCTTGTCCCAGCTACATTGAACATATGAAACTCCTCCGTGGTTTCAGGCGCGCTGACAACGCCTAAAATGTTGAACCTTGGTGGTAGGATATCGGGACAGGTTGCAAGATAATCGTGGTCTATATATATGTAAGCGTGCCGGACAAATCTCGAGAAAATGTGTACCAGAGGGCGAACCAGAACCTAATAGTTCCATTTCACGAAAATCGGAGGCCACAGTGATTTCTGCACCACCGTTATTGGCAAAAGCCGCTTCAACTTCGAAAAGAGCCTGCTCCAGCGGCGGACTCTCCATATATGAGACCAGAGTAGCCGGATATTCCGCGTCATCGACAGTGAGGATGGTGCCGATTGAGTATCGGTTAGTGCGAACAGTTTGGACGGAGAGAACAGGCAAACGCCCAAGGATATAGCAGTGTGACATATTCCGAGTCAAGAGATGTGGTTGGAGAGGGCAGCGACACATTTATATGGTGAAATTCGAAGACCATGATAGAAAAGGCCTAGAAAAAAACATGCGGTGTGGATGACGTTGAGGGTAAGTAGGTTAATTGGCAGGAGGCCAGCCTGAAGCCAGACTGGTAAACAGACAACTGTAGGACGTTACTGGTAGTGGAAGAAAGAGGCCCCGGAGAAAAAACGTGCAGTGTGGATGACGTTGAGGGTAGTAGGTTAATTGGCAGGAGGCCAGCCTAAGGCCAGATCAGTAAACGGACCGTCGTAAGATACTACTGGTAGTGGAAGAAAGAGATTGGGACTCATGAAGAGGTTTTGCTGGATGCGAGAAAAGAGATGGGTGTGGGAAGGAGCACGCGAGAATCCCCGCTTCAAGCCTCCGATAACAGCCGATGGTGCGCTTTGAATTCGTCCGAGCACAGCCACCTCGGGCAGTTTCAGAGTGCACGTTCGGTAATTACCGGTTAGGCGCCGAGGCGCTTCTCGGAAGATATCCGTGGTTACAATGACAACATTATTATTATATCACTCGGAGTAAGGTGGTCGTGGGAAGAACGATGGACGGTTGGGAAATCGAGGCTAGTCTCGGTGAAAGTCGAGGGCTTGGAAATGAGCGTGAGCATGGAAGATCAATGGAAACTTCTGTATGTCCGCCATTCTATTATATTATAGATGTTCGTTGATGTTCATGGTACCGTTGCCAAAACTAACACAAAATTTGATATTGTACGATGAGCCCTAGTGTGTTGTGACGCTTGGGGCCCATCCTATCTCCGTTCCGAGTAAATTTGGTCCACCAACATGAGCCTGCATTTCCGGCTGGGTAGAACTTTCAAGTCGGCCGATCCGGATTTACCTCCACCTGCCTGAAATTTCCGCAAGAGAGAGAGACTGACGTGCCCAAGCGTGCGGTCTCTTTCCATTCAGCATTTAATGTTTGGATTTGTGGGAACGGAGAAAGAAAGTACTGGGCTTACCTTGGAAAGCTGACAGTGTCTCTACAACGCACCGGCTCCTTCCGGAAGAAAGGCTATGCTTCAGAGCACATCCAAGTTTTTTTAAAATGAACTGCAAGCAAGAAAGGACTGATTCTACTCTCAGTTCGGACTCCCTGCATCTAAAGTGCAATTCGGACTTGTGACCAGATTGAATGCGAAAGAGTCTGTGGATACTACAGGACTTCCGACTCTATGTAGCCCCGTTCCCCGTTGCGCATGGTTAGCCGCAGAGACGGAGATGTTCAAGTCACAAGTCCGGCTCCACCCTAGTGCCACTCCACATTCAGACACAGGGAATCGAACCCCGAACTCCCACTACCAGTAATATTTTCTGTTCCAACCCTGATTCAAAGAGGAAGAGGCCGTGTCACCACAACACCATGTCTGATTCTCTTCACTCCCTACACTATTCATAATTCTAGGACCTAGATACTGTTCAATTGGTTGCCTCAAATAATTGAAATTCAACTCCATCGACTGTACTCATCACCTTTCCTCAATTACGCATATGCCCGCTCTCTCTAGGTATCTGAACTTTCATGAAATAAAAACATTCAAAAAGTAGAAGAAACAAAAACCAAATATCTTCAATATTCAGACACAGGGAATAGAACCCCGTACTGCCCCCAATACTACCATGATCAAAGAGGCTGTGTCACCACAACACCATGTCTGTTTCTCCCTCTCTCTCCACTCTCTGCACTGTTCCTTATACACAACAATAATTCTAGAACCTAGGTGACTCTCAATTGATTGTTTTAGATAATCCAACTTCCCGAAACTGTACTTGCCTTTGCTCAATTTCATATATGCCTGCTCTCTCTAGACGGTTCAAGTGTTTTGAACTTTCCTGTAATCCGAAACTTGACGCTTAGAAGAAACAAAACAAGCATTCCTCAACATTCAGACACAGGGAATCGAACCCCGGACTGCCCCCAATACTACTCTGAATCGATACAGACATATTTGAAGAGGCCGTGTCACCACAACACCACATCTGATTCTCTTCACTCCCTGCGCTGTTCCTTATACACAACAATAATTCTCAGACCTAGATACCGCTCAATTGATTGTGTCAAATAATCCAACTCCTGAGACTGTACTCATCACCTCTCCTCAATTCTACATGTACCTGTTATCTGGTCTCAGCATATAAACTTGACTGTCTGAATCAATAAAATTGAAAAGTAGAAGAAACAAAAGACACACCACTTGGTCCTTATTCAGACACAGGGAATCGAACCCCGGACTGCCCCCAATACGACTCACTGATACCAATGATATGAAGAGGCCATGTCACCACAACACCATGTCTGACTCTCTTCACTCCCTGCGCTGTTCCTTATACACGACAATAATTCTAGGACCCAGATACCGCTCAATTGATTGTGTCAAATAATCCAACTCCTGAGACTGTACTCATCGCCTTTGCTCAATTACACTCTAGTAGCTGGTTTAGGTATCTGTGTAATCAAAAAGTACAAGAAACAAATCCTTGATATTCAGACACAGGGAATTGAACCCCGGACTGCCCCCAATCTACTTGACATAAACATATCTACAATCTGAAGAGGCTGTGTCACCACAACACCATGTCTGATTCTTTCCCTGTGCTGTTCCTTATACACAACAATAATTCTATGTAGGAGTCTAGGATTGTGATGTACATGTAGGTGCATTCAATTAAGTACTCATCGAAATTCAACTCCCTTGGCTGTCCTCATCACTTTTCCTCAAATATACATATGCCCGCTCTCTCTAGATGGTTCGTATCTGAAATTTCCTGTAATAAAAAACCTGAAAAGTAGAAGAAACAAAATACAATCTTTCTTCCCCACTCGGGCACGGGAGTCGAACCCCGGAATGCCCCCAATAGTCATCTGACGATACAATTTGAAGAGGGTGCTAAAAAACCTGATAAGTAAAAGAAACAAAATAATACCCTTGTTTTCCACCGTGATGTTCAGACACAGGGAATTGAACCCCGGACTGCCCATAACAGTGCACATAGTCCTTATACACAACAATAATTCTAGGACCTAGGTGGCTCTCAATTGATTATTGATTGCTTTAAATAATCCAACTTCCCAAGACTGTACTCATCACCTTTCCTCAACTCCACATGTGCCCGCTCTCTCTGGACAATTCAAGTACTGTACCGACATGTATGGGAGCAACGGCCCAAGGACCGTGACATTTTGTTGCCATGCAGTTCAAAGCAACAGGCTCACCGCGACCGTGACTGTTGCCAGATTGGGCAACATCCACTGAGAAATTACTCTATAGGGAGGGGGTAGCATGAGTGTTCTCGTCGAAAACAGCAACTCGGACAGCAATAATTAGGCTACAAGCAGTCTTGGCAATTTATTTCATTTTATTGCAATTTTTTTCTGGGGGGGAGGTAAATGTCACACTGTTTTTTTAAGCAACGGCTCTATCGTGACCGGGACATGGGAGCATTTGGGAAACGCAACGGACCCCTCCGTGACCGTGACCGTTGCTCCCATACATGTCGGTACAGTATCGAACTTTCCTGTAATCCAAAACTCAAAAAGTAGAAGAAACAATTTTTCAACATTCAGAGACAGGGAGTCGAACCCTGGAATGCCCCAAATACCGATTTCCGGACGATCCTATTCGAAGAGGCCGTGTCACCACAACACCATGTCTGATTCTCTTCATTCCCTGCATTGCACATTATACACGACAATAATTCTAGGACCTAGGTGCCTCTCAATTTGCCTCGAAAAATTGAATTCAACAAACTCCCTTGGCTGTACTCATGACCTTTCCTCAATTCCACATGCCTGCTCTATCTAAATGGTTCAAGTATCTGAACTTTCCCGCAATCAAAAACCCGAAAAGTAGAAGAAACAAAACAAGCATTCCTCAACATTCAGACACAGGGAATTGAACCCTGCACTGCCCCCAATTCAAATGTTGAACCTATATCTGAAGAGGCCATGCCACCACAACACCATGTCTGATTCTCTTCACTCCCTGCGCTGTTCCTTATATACGACGATAATTCTAGGACCTAGGTGGCTCTCAATTGGTTGCTTTAAATAATCCAGCTTCCCAACTTGACTGTACTCATCACCTCTCCTCAATTCTACATGTGCCTCTGTACCTGGTCTCAGTATCTCAACTTCACTGTCAATAAAATCAACAACTTGAAAAGAAGAAAAAGGATCTTTACAATGCTGAATTCAGACACAGGGAATCGAACCCCGGAATGCCCCAATACCACTCAGTATACAGTCGTATTTGAAGAGGCTGTGTCACCACAACACCATGTCTGATTCTCTTGGCTCCCTGCACCGTTCCTTATACATAACAATAATTCTAGGACCTGAGTGCCACTCAATTGATTGCTTCAAACAATCCAACTCCCCAAGACTGTACACAGGCTCTCCTTTCATTATAATTCCACATGTGCCTGTGTATCTGGTCTCAGCATATGAACTTGACTGTTAATAATACCGAAAAACTTGAAATGAAAATACCAAAAAGGTTCTGGTCAATGTCCAATTCAGACACAGGGAATTGAACCCCGGACTGCCCCTAATACTAAGTTACTCGATGCGGACGATTTGAAGAGGCCGTGTCACTGCAACACCATGTCTGATTCTCTTCATTCCCTGCACTGTTCCTTATATATCACAACAGGACCTAGGAGGTGCCTCTCAATTGGTTGTGTCAAATAATTGAAATTCAACTCCCGTGACTGTACTTGTTGCCTTTTATCGAGCTCAATTACTACTAAGTTGAATTAAACATGTGCCCGCTCTCTCTAGACGGCTCGTATTGTGTTCCAAAACTCAAAAAGTAGAAGAAACAAAAATAACCTTCATCAAACCCTACTCAGACACAAGGAATCGAATCCCGGAGTGCCCCCAATATGACTCACTGATATCAATGATATGAAGAGGCCGTGTCACCACAACACCATGTCTGATTCTCTTGTTCCCTGTGCTGTTCCTTATCCATGACAATAGTTGTAAGACCTAGATACCGTTCAATTAGTTGCTTCAAACAATGCAACCGAGACTGTACTCAAACTCTCCTTTTATTGTAATTACACATGTACCCATTGCTCTCTCTGGATGACGTTCAAGTATCCCCACTTTCATATAATCAAAAAACTCAAAAAGGAGAAGAAACAAAAACCAAATTTTGTTAAACATCTTGAATTCAGACACAGGGAATCGAACCCCGGACTGCCCCTTAATACAACTTGAACTCACAAACAATATTTGAAGAGGCCATGTCACCACAACATCATGTCTGATTCCCTTCACTCCCTGCGCTGTTCCATATACACGATAATAATTCTAGGATCCAATTAGTTGCCTCAAATAACTGAAATTCAACTCCCTTGGCTGTCCTCATCGCATTTCCTCAATTTCACATGTGCCTGCGCTTCTTGTCTCAGCATCTGAACTTGACTCAATAAAACCAATAAATTTGAAAAGAAGAAAAAGGCACTAAATATCAGCATTCAGACACAGGGAATCGAACCCTGCACTGCCTCCAACAATCATCGTTACTCAACTATTGGAAGAGGCCGTGTCACCACAACACCACGTCTGATTCTCTTACTCCCTGCACTGTTCCTTATACACAGCAATAATTCTAGGATCCAATTAGTCGCCTCAAGTAATCGAAATCCAACTTCCTTGACTACCCTCAAAGTCTCCTTTCCTTACACATGTGCTGCTCTATCTAGACGACATACAAGTATCTGAACTTGACCATTGATAAAAAAAATGAAAAGTAGGAGAAGCAAAAACAAATCTCGTCTTCCCCTCAGATTTCAGACACAGGGAATCGAACCCCGGACTGCCCCGAATACAACTTGAACTCACAAACAATATTTGAAGAGGCCGTGTCACCACAACACCATGTCTGATTCTCTTACTCCCTGCACTGTTCCTTATACATGAAAATCATTCTAGGACCTAGGTGCCTCTCAATTAGTTGGTTCAAATAATCCAACTCCGCGAACCCTGTACTCATCGCATTTCCTCAATTCCGCATATGCCCGCTCTCGACAGTTCATATCTGAACTTTCTTGTGATAAAAAACTGGAAAGTAGAAAGAAAAACAAGTTCTCTCTTCCGCATTCAGACACAGGGAATCGAACCCCGGACTGCCCCTACCAGTAATATGTTCTGTACCTCCTAATTCAAGAGACTGTGTCACCACAACACCATGTCTGATTCTCTTCACTCCCTGCGCTGTTTGTTATACACGACAATAATTCTAGAATCCAAATAGTAGCCTCAAATAATTGAAATTCAACTCCCAGAGACTGTACTCATCGCATTTCCTTAATTTCACATGTGCCTGCGCTTCTTGTCTCGGCATACATGTATGAACTTGACTGTCTGAATCAATAAAATTGAAAAGCAGAAGAAACAAAAGACACACCACTTGGTCCTTATTCAGTCGGACCTGTGTTAAAACAACTGAAATTCGACTCCCCGAGACTGTCCTCATTTCCTTTTGTTATAATTCCACATGTGCCTGTGTATCTGGTCTCAGCTTCCGAACTTGACTGTCAATAAAAAACTGGAAAGCAGAAAGAAAAACAAATCCACATTCCCCAACATTCAGACACAGGGAATCGAACCCCGGACTGCCCCCAATACAAATGTTGAACTTATATTTGAAGAGGCCATGTCACCACAACACCATGTCTGATTCTCTTCACTACCTGCGCTGTTCATTATACACGACAATAATTCCAGGACCTACCTCAAATAATTGAAATCCAACTCCCTTGACTGTACTCATCGCCTTTGCTCAATTACACTGTAGTAGATGGTTCAAGTACATATCTGAACGTTCGTGTAATCAAAAAGGAAGACACTCATTCCACATTCAGACACAGGGAATCGAACCCCGGAATGCCCCAACAGTGTATTCTTGCTCCAGTTCCAATTCAAGAGGCCATGTCACCACAACACCATGTCTGATTTCCTTCACTCCCTGCGCTGTTCATTATACACAACAGGACCTAGGAGGTGCCTCTCAATTGGTTGCGTCAAATAATCGAAATTCAACTCCCTTGGCTGTCCTCACCGCCTTTGTTATAATTCCACATGTGCATTCAGATCTGGTCTCAGGCCCCGACCTTCCAGCGTCTGAACTTGACCGTTGAAAAAAAAAAACCCCAAAAGTAGAAGAAACAAAAGACAAGACTCGTTTTCCACTCAAATTTCAGACACAGGGAATCGAACCCCGGTAGGTAGGTAGGTAGGTAGAATTACACGGCCGGTCCAACTCATGAACGCCGGTTCCAGGGATTAACCCAGTGTACACGCACTAAGTATTACACCATCTTCCCTGGGCCTTCCTGTATCCCTCTAGCTGAGCTCACGGTCGCAGTCAGACTTGCCGCGGTAGAACTAGACGAACAAAAAAAAAGCGAAAAAAGTTAGCACATCAACAGGTAAGCCTCTCAAGCATCTAAACGAAATACGGGAACGGCGTAAAATACTTCTAGGACATCGAATGCAAACTTAGCAACCAGGGCGATCGTCGATCTTGGATGAATGATGGTTTTTATAAACTCCGTATTAGAGAGTTCCGCCCTCCGGTTTTGTAAGTCCGGTAGATCCGAGAAGAGTTTAGCGAGGAACACTGCTCTGAGTTGAACCACTGTGTCCGAGGACTTGCAGGTGATCAGAGTGCTCCGGCGTCTCGACTTTATTTCTACAGAACCTACACAACCGATCCGATCGGGGTACAGGTTGATAAGCATGATCAACATAGCGCAAGACTTCCACGGCTAACAGGTGAGTTGAGAGTAAAACAGAGGTGATTGCCTCCCTATGTTTCTGTGTCTTCACCAAAGTTAGGTAGTGCCGCATACAGGAAGTAATTTGGGCTGTTCTTTTGTCCTTTTGAGGTTCACGGCGTCCGCACAATAAGTAGAGCTTTTCAGATGAGTCAATTTCTCCTTGCAGCCATTCCAGCATCAGCTTCTCGACCAGTTTTGCATAGTTTTCAACGTCTACGATCGAGGTATGACACGTGAGAAGCAGAACTGGGCAGTGGAATGGTAGTCTCGAAGCAGCTTTGATGAGATCTTTGGCCCATGATTTTTTACCTGCGGCAATGCCCCCAATCAATAGTCAACACTACAGTGGATATTTCAAGAGGCCGTGTCACCACAACACCATGTCTGATTTCCTTCACTCCCTGCACTGTTCCTTACACATGATAATAATTCTAGTACCTAGGCGCCTCTCAATTGGTTGCTTAAATAATCCAACTTCCCGAGACTGTACTCATCGCCTTTGCTTAATTGCACTCTAGTAGATGGTTTAAGTATCTGAACGTTCATGTAATCAAAAAGTAGAAGAAACAAATCCTTGATATTCAGACACAGGGAATCGAACCCTGGACTGCCCCCAATACGACTCAATACCAATGTCGAAACAACATGTGAAGAGGCCGTGTCACCACAACGCCATGTCTGATTTCCTTCACTCCCTGCACTGTTCCTTATACACAACAGGACCTAGGAGGTGCCTCTCAATTGGTTGCATCAAATAATCGAAATTCAACTCCCTTGGCTGTCCTCACCGCCTTTTGTTATAATTCCACATGTGCATGCAGATCTGGTCTCAGGCCCCGACCTTCCAGCGTCTGAACTTGACCGTTGATAAAAAAACCAAAAAGTAGGAGAAGCAAAAACAAATCTCGTTTTCCACTCAGATTTCGGACACAGGGAATCGAACCCCGGAATGCCCCCGATGTATTTGATACAAACATATTTGAAGAGGCCGTGTCGCCACAACACCATGTCTGATTATCTTGACTCCCTCCATTGTTCCTTATACTCAAAAATAGTTCTAGGACCTGGGTGCCTCTCAATTAGTTGCCTCAAATAATCCAACTTCCCGAGACTGTACTCATTGCCTTTGCTCAATTACACTCTAGTAGATGGTTTAGGTATCTGAACATTTGTGTAATCAAAAAGTAGAAGAAACAAAATCCTTAACATTCAGACACAGGGAATTGAACCCCGGACTGCCCCCAATAGTTGTCTAAATCAGTCCCATATTTGAGGAGGCCATGTCACCACAACACCATATCTGATTCTCTTGACTCCCTGCACTGTTCCTTATACACGAGAATAATTATAGGACCTAGGTGCCCTTCAATTGGTTGCTTCAAATAATTGAAATTCGACTCCCTCGACTGTACTCATCGCCTTTCCTCAATTGCACATGTGCCTATGTATCTGGTCTCAGCATATGAACTTGACTGTCAATAATGCCGAAAAACTTGAAATGAAAATACCAAAAAGGTTCTGGTTAATGTCCCATTCAGACACAGGGGATCGAACCCCGGACTGCCCCTGATACTAAGTTACTCGATGCGGACGATTTGAAGAGGCCGTGTCACCACAACACCATGTCTGATTTCCTTCACTCCCTGCACTGTTCCTTATACACGACAATAATTCTCGGACCCAGATATCACTCAATTGATTGTGTCAAATAATCCAACTCCTGAGACTGTCCTCATTGCCTTTTGTTATAATTCCACATGTGCCTGCCTGTGTACCGGGCCCGTCTCAGCATAGAACTTGACTGTCTGAATCAATAAAATTGAAAACTTGAAAAGAAGAAAAAGGATCTCGACAATCCCATTCAGACACAGGGAATCGAACCCTGGACTGCCCCCAACACAAACATTGAACCGATATCTGAAGAGGCCGTGTCCCCACAACACCATGTCTGATTCTCTTCACTCCCTGCACTGTTCGTTATACACAACAAATAATTCTAGTACCTAGGTGCCTCTCAATTGATTGTGTCAAATAATCCAACTCCTGAGACTGTCCTCATCGCCTTTCCTCAATTCCAGATTTGCCTGCGCTTCTTGTCTCAGCATATGAACTTGACTCAGTAAAACCAAAAAAACGTGAAAAGAAGAAAAAGGATCCTGACAACCCTACTCAGACACAGGGAATCGAACCCCGGACTGCCCCTAATACAACTTGAACTCACAACAATATTTGAAGAGGCCATGTCACCACAACACCATGTCTGATTCTCTCCCTCTTGACTCCCTGCACTGTTCCTTATACACCACCTCAATTGGTTACCTCAAAAAATAATCGAAAATAGTTGCCTCAAAAAATAATCGAAATTCAACTCCCTCGACTATACTCAAACTTTCCTTTCCTTCCCTCAATTCCACACGAGCCTGTGCCCTCGGCATCTGAACTTGCAATGACCGCCAACAAAATCTCAACCTCACAACCAAAATAACACCTGGCAGCCGCTTCCGAGTCAAATGTATCTCCGAGTCTATCTCTGCCCCTCCGCGCGTCCCGGCGATCTTCAAGCATACATGCATATGTATAGACTCAAGTCCCATCCCTCGAGCTCCTACGGCGTTCGTTGTCACCACGACTGCATGCGCAGGTCTACGTAGCTCCGGTTCCTTTGAAGTTTGAACTATCGATCCACTGGCAGCTGCTGCCCAACGAACGGCGAACGGCGAACGGTAACCGAGATTATATATATGACGAACGTAAATTCAAAAGAGTGTGTCTGTCTGTCTGTCTGCTTGTAAACGAGTGTCTCTGCCTTTTGGCTCTCTACCATCTGTCTTCATACGTACCCTACCTACACCTACCATGTATGTAAACCCAATATTAACGCCAGCCAAGAAAGAAAAAAAAAATTGAAGGAAAGGTCGTAGGGTACGCAAGTAGCAAGTAACTGGTGGTAGTAGTAGTATGTATGTATGCATGCGGATATATATTCGTTGGTTGATATTTGATATGTACTGCTGCTCTCTTCTCTTCTTCTCTCTTCTCTTCTCCTCCTCGTCGAAGCTCAAATTTTTACTTCCATCCCCCGAACCCAAAACGCACGCGGGGGAACGAGGATGAACGAACGAAGACCGAACGAGGAAGAAGCACGCCTAATCATGCTTAAACCCGCCCGTGGGGAGCCCGACGACGGCAGCGCGCTCCGCGGCGAGGAGGTCCGAGAGGCCGATGTAGTACGCGATGAAGGCGGTGACGATGCCGAAGGCGCCGCCGGCGGTTGTTACGCTGCGAGGCGAGGCGGGTTAGTGAGGTTGATGAGGGAGAGGACGATGAAAAGAAAGGGAGGGGAAGAACAGGGCGAGCGCGACTCGCGAGTTGCCCACAAAAGCGGGGAGGGAGGGAGGCCGAGGCCGAGTCCGAGTCCGGCGGAGTGAAAAGAAAGGGAACGAAAAACGTAAAGAGAAGGAAAAACACTCACTGCGCAACCCCACTCATCGCGCCGGCGCCGAGGAGGGCGAACGTGACGGCGAGGAAGGAGAAGAGGAGGACGAAGGCGATGGATTTGCGGAGGGAGGCGATCCTGTTGGGAGCGTTAGTGAGCATAAGGTGCGAATGGATTTGGGGGAGGGGAGGAACGCAGAAAACACGAAACAAGGAAAAGACGCGCGCCGCCCGCCCGGCGCATCCCCGGCGAATTCACGCGGATTTCGCGGCGCGGGAGAAGCCTGTAAGGCGCGATGCGATGCGCGCGGCAGATGCGTGTCGGGGAATAGGGGGATAGGCTAGGCTAGGCCAGGAACGCCACGCGCGGGATGATGTGTGGGGATGTGTGGATTGTGTGGATATGCGGGGAAGGCGGAAAACCGGGAAAACGGGAAAGAAAACGAATGTGGAATGGGGAAAACGAACGGAAAAAGGAACGGAAAGGAACGGGAAATGGGGAAGAGGAGAAGGGAAATTGGAATATGCAGAGGTCGGGCGCCAGGCACCGCCAAGGGCGCGACGGCACGAGACCAGGCAAGGGGGGCGATCAATGGAAGCACCGACCCGTGATCGCCGCGTAAGCGAGGTACGTAAGGGACAAAAGAGAAAAAAATGAAGGGGAGGACGGATGGGGATGGCGGGCGGAAAAACGGAAGATGCGCGGGGTGGGGCGGGGGGATGACGCGATGGGTCCGATGAAGGTGGGGTGGAGGAAGAAAGAGAAAGAGCAGGAGAAACACGCACAAGAGGAGGATGGTGATGATCATCCACGACATGAGATATATCCCAATAGCATTGTTAAACTCGACCGCGTTGAGGACGCCGTTCTTGTCTTCGTAGGCTGCGCCGATGCCGGAGCCGGGGATGAGGATCGCTGCGTACGAGAGCCAGAAGGCGCCGTAGGAGGTGAAGGCGGTGGCGCCAAAGGTGTTGCCGCGGGGGAACTCCCACATGCCCGCGAGGAGCTGGGCGAGGCCGCCGGTGAAGAGGGCCATGCCGACGACGACGTTAGGCGCGGTGATGCCCCGGATGGAGACGTTGTAGAAGCTGAGGATGAATGTCGTGGAGGCGAAGGAGAACAGCCCGAGCGCGGCCGGGTTCGCGATCCCCGTCGGCCGGGGTGCCCCGGTCAGCGCGCTGCCTGCGCCGCCTTCACGCTGGTAAGCGCCTTTCTCGATGTCGCTCATGGTGGGTAGGGTAGGTAGTAGGGGAGGGAGGGCGGATGACTGGCGACATGTTTTGTTTGCCCTCGTGTTTTAACGAATTCGAATCACCCGATCACTCCTAGATCGGACTATACTCGCCCTCCTTTCGCTTCGGTACACCCTTTCCGCTGCCTGTCATCCAACTTAACTTAAAAATACGATTATTATTATCGCCCACTCCAAAAGCGCACTCCATACTCCGAATCATCCCTTCCCACCGTCCCCGCCACCCCGCACACCCCGCACCCCGTGATGCGGGGCACCTCCGGACCCAATAAAAAAATCCAAATTCTCCCCGGTCGAGGCGCACCTAGCCGAGTCATCCCTATCTGTCTCTATCTTGTCAACTTGAATCCAGAGCTCCTGCCATGGCCCGCGACCGACCCGACTCGCTTCCACTCTCCTCGCGGATACGCTCCGATCGCAGCCTGAGGCGTGACCCCGCGGCGCTTTTAATTCCACTCTTTTCGGCGGTGCTACTCTTTTCGGCACTTGCCACTGTGGCCCAGCCTAACCCTGAACGTCGCCCTCATATGACGACGGAAATCCAAACAAACAAATAAAGTCTCCACTGTGCGGGGGCCGGGCGCCATTCGCCGTTTGCCACGTACCGTAAGGCCGTTCAAACGAAACGTACGTAACCCCGACTCGCGAGCCTCGAGGCGAAATCCGCTGAATTCGGGCAACGCTCCTCTCCTCCTATTCTTTTTTTCCGTATGTTTGTTTCCCATCGACGCCTGTCTGTCCGCCTGTCTCTGTCTCTGTCTCTGCCATCTCCGTCCTGTCATTCCAAACAAGTTTCGAACTCAATTTTGAATTCCCGCTCAATTCAATTCACTTTCTTGGCGTGCCTTACACATCCACACATAAACATAATCCCTTGGCCCCGCGCCAACCTCGCCCCGAGCTCGGCCTCGGCCTCGGCCCTGGGCTGCCCCTCCATTCAGCTTAAAATTAAATGGTATACATAGATTGGTTTGGTACGTGTGCCAAGCCCATTCATTCATTCATTCTATCGGACATAAGTACACAATGTAATTGTAAATTCACCGCCACAACGTCGAACCATTAATTGAATTCGCTGCCTGAGGCTAAAAATTAGATTCACAAATCGCGACTCGCGATTAATCACACATGTTTACGCGTACGAGCGCAGATAGCGCGTTTATGTGGATTCTACATACGGAACGCGTTCGGCGCGTGATCGCGATTCGCGGTGGAATAAATACTATAAATATAATTATAATTGTGGAGGGCCCGGGAACGGCCGAATGGGAGTTGAGTTGCAGTCTAAATTTATACACGCTCGCAGATTTGAATCTGTCTCTTAAGGATGCAGTGCTAAGGAAAGTACTCCGTATAATCGAACGTGAACCACCAAGGCGAGTTGTGAGGGTGGGGATAACTTCAAGAAGGCGCCCCCGCATGCGAAGGAGTCTTACTACTACCAAGGACAAAGGAGCAAGCCTCTCATTTAGTGTTGTCCTTGAGAAGGAGGAGGAATCGGATGTGGTGTATGCAACACGGCCTCCCACCTTGTTATGTTGAACGAATAACAGAGGCAGTCCGGGGTTCGACTCCCCGCATCCGAATACATCAAACATCGCATCAAATTTTATTCCTCACCGCAGCACAGATACCAGTTTATGATAGGAAACAGGGACCAAGCAATCGGACGTAGTGTATGCAACACGGTCTCCCACCTTGTTATGTTGAATGAGTAATAGAGGCAGACCGGGGTTCGACTCCCCGCATCCGAATATGTCGAACACGAATCCTTTTTATTCCCACCACGGAAGGATGCCCATTTATAATGGGAAACAGGAACCAAGGAATCGGATGTGGTGTACGTTACACGGCCTCCCACCTTGTGGTTTGAAACGAGTAACAGAGGTAGACCGGGGTTCGACTCCCCGTGTCCAAATGCATCAGAATCAATAATATTTTTATTCCCACCACGGAAGGATGCCCATTATAATGGGAAACAAGGACCAAGAAATCGGATGTGGTGTATGCAACACGGCCTCTCTCCCTTGATATGATTTCGAAGAATTACAGAGGCAGAACGGGGTTCGACTCCCCGTGTCCGAATAGCTGCCGATGGGTTGTTGATTCCTTAATTTTTGTTACTCTTATTACAGACAAGGTGATGCTAATTTATTTTCCTTCAAAAAAAAAAGTAGGGAATCGGAGATGTGGTGTACGCAACATGGCCTCCCACCTTCAATTCTCGAAGAAGGAGAGGCAGTCTGGGATTCGACTCCCCGCAT